AGCAAAGGTTCATATTGAGTTGGTGCTATGATTTGGTTGAGGCTTGAACCCACACAGCTCATGTTCTATGTGCTTGGTTCCTGGTGTGGTGATGTTGAGAAGTGATGCAGTCATTAAGAGATGAAGCCTAGTGAGATGTGGTAAGAACTTACTTGGGGCATTACTCTCAGAGGGAACTGATGAGTTCTTGGCAGACCCTGAGTAACTCTCCCAAGAGCAAAGTTCCCCCCAGTCTCCTATCTGTTTCTCTGGCTTTCTGTGTACACTCCCTCACACACGCACTCCTGTCATTATGCACCTCAGGATGCGGTACAGTCCAGGAGGCCCTTGCAAGAGACTGCACCACGCTGTTTGGTCTTTTAGCCCTTGGCCAGGATCCCACAGTCAAGAAGGGACTCGCTTACAGCCAGAATTCAAATCTTCTGTTTCAGGCTTTGTTGTCTTGCCTTCAGGATCTGAGTGCTACCACCTCTTCTCAGAAGTCTAGGGAACATATTTGTCGCATGAGTTAGACAGATAGGTAGAACAGAATGTATTTGATAAATACTGGTAAATCACTGTCCTAGAAAAGGCCAGGTTTTATTGTCATTGTTAAATTAAGAGACAAGACTTCTATTTATTGACCAAATGTGCAAGAAGGCTACAATATCTGTCACTTCACCTGAAAAAGCCAATCTACTGAGTGGCCCTCCCTCTGGACTCACTGCATAGTGGCTATGGAATATCAGCCTGGCCCCAACTCTCTCTCTCTCCTCTCAGCTTGGCTCCCTTTAGAGTGTCAGGGCACTTCCTTGTGGGGCAGTTACTATGAGAGTTACTTCAGGATAATAAGGCACTGAAGGACACACATTTTCTTGATGTAGTCAGTGCCATCAAGATCTGATCTCATTGAAGGAAGGCTCCAAGGAAAAGTTCCTGCCTTTTCTTCTATAGTGAGATCCTTGGCATTAACAAGAAATTCCTGTATTTCTAAGTATCATTCTTGGGATACTGAGGCTCCCACAAAATTACAAACTAAAACATGCAAATGGGCCCTTCAGATCTTTAATGACTTTACAAATAAGGTAACAGAGCCTTTCTAACATGCTAATTCAGATCCTTTTCTAGAGTCCTATTTCTGTGGAGCTTCCTGGGACCATCTTCACATCAAAGGTCAAGGCCTTCTCAAGTTTCATTCAAGTTTAAGCTTTTGGCTGAAAAGCAATGGTCGCACAGGTAAGCACTGTTGGGATGGGATCATTTTAGAAATCATTTACTCTAGAAGAGTTTCTGGATCTGCCAGGCTGCTATCTTCCCAAACACCCTTTTTCAGAGTAACATTAGCCAGTGTTACACATCTCCACGACCTTATACCCCCCACATGCTTTAATGCTGGCTTTCTTTTGGGGGCCACCTTTCACTTAGAAATGAGACAAGAGTTGTTTTGTGACTTTAAGTAGAGAAATCAAGAAGCCGTGGTAAGATGTGCTAAGTGACCCAGGGCCACGCTCATTTGCAGCCCAGTTCCCTCCTGCTGTGTGCCTAGCCTGCAGGTAGTGAGCTTCAAATTCCAATCTCAGAAAAATTACATTTGATGACATGTTTTGGACTACCCAGGTTCCCTGGGAATATTAAATCTATTAATACCTGGGTTCTTCTGACTTAACTTTCTTTGCTTTTGTCATTCTAGTGTTAACACATTCTTGTTTTAATGACTAATATTTTTCACTCTGGTCTTATACGCATTTGTTTTCTTGTTCATTTTGTCTCAGCACTAAAGAATTTAAGGTTTTTTTTTTTCCTTACAGAAAAAAAGATTTTCCTAGTACATGACCCCAAAGGTCACATAATGCTGCATTTTCTGAATTGCCTGGAGATATAGCACTACCTATTAGAATGCCTGCCAACAGAATGACTGCCTTTCATGGTAGTTTACAGATACTGAGAGAGGACTGGATTTGGTGGGGCATATATCCCAAATTCTTAATTCTGGGTACCAAGGGAAATTCTGATCAATCAACAGATCTTGAGTAAACAATGTTTAGTGTCCTCCAATCCACACTGGCATAAAGGCAAAACTATTAACCAGTGATTTTAGACTTCTGACTCACAAAACCAAGTCCATATTATCAGAAAAACTCCTTTAAATCAAATGAGAGGAAGAGTTAGGATTTTGGTGGTTGTTACATGTAACAGAAACTCAAGTAAGCATAGGAAAATCAAAGGAGATGAATATGTGGTACTTGGCTAGCAGAACTACAAGGACAGCTCTCAAAGGGAACACATGAGATGCAGGAGCCCGTGTCCTCAGGATCAACAGTCAGCCTGCTTCTCATCAGTGTCTGTCCCTTAAACATACAGAACACTTTGACCTTGACCTCCCCAATGAAGGGAGGACACCTTTTTCTCTCGTATAATAATGTCAAACTACATGTCTAATCCTTTGGTCAAATACTACTAAAAACAGGATAAGATACTGTGAAGAGCTAGGCCTGCATCAAGACCCACCCTTTTCCAGGGAAGCAATGCCTCTCTCTAGAAGGTTTACGGGAAACCTTGCAGGGAAAACAAACAATTAAAAAGAAATTGCTACCATGGCTCATTACACAGAGCTACCCAAAAAAGGAATTCTAATAACAATGTGGAAAGACCATATATCTTGTGAATTAATATTTATGACTTGTTATACTGCATCAAACACTATTCTAAACAGGAATGAATATAAAGAAGGGTAGTAAGACTCTCCTACCTAGGTAATTTGTCCACAATTGTCAGTGGAAAAACATGCCACTCAATAATCAAACTCCATTGTCTGTGAACCCTATCATTAACAGTTCTGTCTTTTGGCTTCTGGTACTAAAGTCAAAAGGCTCTATTCCGTGATGTTTGACTCAGTGACCCCTGCACTCCCCCATCTCTTCCAGTCTATGAAACTCCAAATATCTCTTAAGAACTGCAGATGCAGATATTACATTGTTAAACAGTGTTATGAGCTTAATTGCACCCACTTTCCATTTCGTTTTTGGTATGTTTGTTGTCCTAATTCCAGAACCACAGAATGTGACTGTTTTTATGTTTTGATAAGGCTTCAAGAGAGATAATTAAGGTAAAATGAGTTCATCTGGGAGGACCCTAATCCAATAAGATTGGTGTCCTTACAAGAGGAGGCGACTTGGACACACATGAGCATAGAGAGGGAAGGTCAATGGAAAAGCTCAGTGAAGACAGTCATCTGCAGGACACAGAGAGAGAGAAGCATCTAAACAAACCAACCCTGTTGATGTCTTCATCTTTGATTTCCAGCCTCTGTATCTTGGAGGAAATACAGTGGCACTTCAAAAAGTTTGTGGAAAAGGGAATTAAAAGATAACATGTATTGTCCAAGAGCCTTATAAAAGAGAAATCTCCCCCTGCTGGTTCACTCCACAAATGTCCACAACTATCAGGGGTAGGGGCTGGGCCAGGATGAAGCCAGGAGCCAGGAAACCAATGTGGGTCTCCTACAGGGGTGATATGGACCCAAGTACTTGAACCATCACCCACTGCCTATTGCCTATACATGAGCAGGAGGCTGCAACTAAGAGCAGAACATAGGTACTACTTGAACCTATATACTCTAATCAAGGATGCAGGCATCCCAAATGCCATCTTACTACACCAACTGCAACCCCTATTACCATTCTAGTTAGTCATAATTTTCTGTCTAAGCCCTCACCTTTCTCATGTGATATTCCAGTGGTCCAAACTGAAGTGACACCTAAATTGTTCTCATTATGATGCTCTTGTCCTACCAGTCCTCAATCTACTTTGCCTCAGGCCTCATCTCTCTCCCACTAGGGATCCACTCTCTCTGGCGAACCAGACCTGGTTATCACAATAACACTATTTCCGGTCCCTTACCAGGCCTAGATTTTGAACCTTCAGCCCCTGCAGTGAATTTGCCAGTATCTTGGCCCTGCCTAACCCTGCTTGGTTTATGTTTCTTCCTTTGCTCTCTGTCATTTCTCTTGGGATTCAGCAAACTGTCTGCTGGGAGCATGCTGAGATTCCCCCCACCAAACACAGTACACATCTGGAAATGCACATCTACTCCTGAAGAAACAGCCAACGTGGCCGCCCCACTACACAGAACCTGGCACCAAAAGGAAAGTATTTGTGTGTGTGTGTGTGTGTGTGTGTGTGTGTGTGCGTGTATGTATTTTGGCTCAACAGAGTACTGCTAAATGACCAGGGTTTGTGGAAAAGCACATAAATTATATAGGATTTTTCAGTGTACAAGCTTTCTAATATTGTACCACCATATTGGCAAAGCAGTACTAGGAGGCTATTAGGACGCAATCTGGAAATTACCTCATTATTGAGGTTTGCAATGATATTTGCCAAATGGGATTTTTTTGCTTAGGTGTGTGCTCAAAAAAATTTCCAGCCATACTGTTTATAGCTTCAATATATTAATATCTCCACAAAAAATTCCACGAAAAAAAAGAAATATTCAAATAACCCAAGCATTGTGGATCTACCAAATACCATGCTTTACCTTTGTTTCTTTCTTTTCTTTTCTATTTTTTTTTTTATCATCTACAGACAGTTTAAAAAAAAAAAACAACCTGATAACGTCAAAAGATGAGAAAAGCCAAACTCTGGGAAATAAAGGAACCATAAATCAGAAAAACTTTAGAGCTGCTGGAAAGACACTTTAATTTTGTAGACAAAAGACTGCATTAAGGAGGAATAATGCAATAATCAAAGGTGAACGGATCTCTATTGTCTGGCGTCTTTCTCTGTGGGAATTTTCCCACCCCTGACAGCTGTAGGCGGGGGAGGGGCATTGAATGTGGCTGTGCCTTTATTCTCTCACCCTTTCCCCCCAGCCCCTCCTCTTCTCCGTCAATAAATGTCTGCAATCACATTCTTGAGCTCCTGTGTGATTTCAAGGTTCATCTCTTCCATGCAGCTCAAACACTAATTATCCCAGCTGTAATTAGTAAGATAATTAAATATTGGCTCACTCATCACTCTACCTTGGGTCGGGTCGTGATTCTCCCAGAAGACCTTGAGCAGTTCCTCAAAGCTGATGTGCTCTGGCTGGTACACAACTCGGACGACTTCTGCATGGCCAGTTTTGCCTTGAAAGGAAACAGAATGTATACATGGAATTGATTGACAACATCAATTTACTGCAACTTGTTGGTTCTCAAAAACCCAACAGGCAAAAGCTAAAGTGCTTCTGAAGAATGAAAGGAAGGGAGGAAAAAGGAAGGAAGGGAGGAAGGAAGAAAGGAAGGGAGGGAGGGAGGAAGGAAGGAAGGAAGGGAGGGAGGGAGGGAGGGAGGAAGGAAGGAAAGGAGCGAGGGAGGGAGGAAGGAAGAAAGGAAGGAAAGGAGGAAAGAAGGAAGGAAGGAAGAAAAAAGGAAAGAGGGAGGGAGGGAGAGAGGAAAGAAGGGAGGGAGGGAGGGTAGGAAGAGAGGGAGGGAGTGGAAGCATCAGCGGATATCAGCTTCCAGCTTCTTCCTGTCTCTCTGGCTGCTACCTTTTCCATTAAGCATACAACTGCCCACCAGCAAGCTTCCTGGGGTGAGTTCTTCATTGAGAGAGAGAAAGAAAGAAAAAAGGAAAGAGAGAGAGAGTGTGTTTTGTTAAGTTCATGAAGAAAAAGCAAGCAGGCTTTTTTTTTTTTTTAATAATTTTTAAACCCTACTCTTGAACTCTATGGATCCAAGTGGAAATGATGTTAGAGACAGGAAGCACTACGTGGGTGACTACATCAATTTATTCTCATCAGCCCCATGCTGTATGTAGTAAACAGCATGAGGCAGAGCCAGCTTGGGCCCGATGTAGAGAAACCAACAAACCTATACAAAACAAAACTGCAACAACAAAAAAACAGGCTGCAACTCACTCACGTTAGATAGACTAGCTGGTGGAAGGACAGATTTGCTGTACTGCTAATGTTGAGGCAAGGGTTACATTCAAACACTCGGGGCAGGAGCATGCTTCTTCTCTGTGACAAACAATGACTTTAGCAAATGTCTCTGTGTGGGACTGAGTGTGAGTAGGGCCCTTGTCCAATGTGCTCCAGAAGGTTCAGTGCGACACAGCAGTGGGCATTTGCGGGAGCATGGGACCGACAGAATTCACACCTTACAGTCTTCGCGGTGAGTAACAGACCCTTTCCCGGCTGACATCATCCCGATATTTAGATTTATTTCCCATCTCTTTGTGATCACTCTGTCCAGAGAGGTCTGATCTTTTGGCCTCAGCTCCTCAGAGCAAATGTCCTACATAAAAGAAATGAGGATGGCCACACGGATCCTAACATGGGGCCAGCTACACCTGACAGTCTTGAAATGGAAACTGGCCACATAAAAAAGATCAACCAAGGGGATTAGGCCGGGGTGGGGGAGGGGGGTGTTGTGTAACACTGTGTGAGTCAGACTGAACATGGGGCTCCACCTTATGGGCCATCAACCAATGAATCATGCCTGCACACTGGAGTCACAATAAAAAATAGGCATTGAAACTCAGGCAAACCTCTGGTGAACAGCATTCTCTGCACACCATCATATCTCGAAGCCAGGAGGATAATACCCCCTGACTCCAGCAGAACAGAAATGTTTGGAACCTTCCCAGACAGCACTTCAATGAGTGGATTTCGGGCTTTCTTTTTTCTCTCTGTAATAAATCATAACCATGAGTCTAACAGCTTTCAGTGTATTCTGAGTCCTCGCAGAAAATTATCCAACATAAGGGTGGTTCAGAGAGGGAAGGGAGAATACTCTGAACTGGCACCTTATTTGGCAAAGGTGTTTTGCCATAAGTTGGTTTACCTCACTTTGGTTCTCAAAACTGTATGATGTTATAGCCATTAAAATCATACATCCCCTTGTGACAAACTGAAAAAAACTGAGATATAAGAAGGGGAGATTTGTCCCAGGGAACATGGCGAATTTCTGGGCCACAACTTGAAAATATTACATTTTAACTTCTTTTCCAGGATTCTATCTAATACATCAAAGGGAAGGAAGCTGAGTGGTCACTTGGGAGATGAGTGAAAATAAAAGAAATATATTCATTATCTTTCATCTTTTTAATATTTCAGTTTCCTTCTAATTATAGAGACAGCATTTGTGAATAATATGAAGCTTAGGAAATGGGGGAAAGTTCAAAACATAAAAATACTCCTTTAGTCCTGTCTCATGAGAGCTATATCAACATTTTTAAATTCATTTTCTTTTTAGATGCACATCAGACATGCAGGCTCATACCATGTGGAAATAAAATTTCTTTCACTGAAATCACAATAGCATGTTTGTCCCACTTACTGGTGTATTATGATGTCACTGAGATTTTTGGGAAGCACCACTTATCATGACTTTTAACACAGCATCAGATGCTTGTCTAATTACTGACTCCATCACTCCCTGTCCTTGGGCGTTTAGACTGAATCCTATTTTTATCATGAATGCAAATATCTTTCCACACTTCTGAGTCTGCCTCAAGTCATAGCTATATAAGTGGAATTTCTAAATCCATGTTTATAAATATTTTAAAATTTCTTGATGCCTAGTGAAACTGCCTTTCAGTAAAGTTGATCCAATTTTCTTCTATTGTATATTCAAGAAACATTCAAAATCCCTATAAAATGGTTTGGCAATTTTTAGGTATAATATAATGTCTAATTATTTCCTTTTTAATAGGTTTCATCATTAATGCAGTTAATATACTTCACACTTTAAAAAATATTTTTCTTCTTCTATTGGAAAGTCAAATATACAGAGATAAGTAGAAACAGAAAGATCTTCCCTTTGCTGGTTCACTCCCAAAGTAGCTACAATGATTGGAGCTGAGCTGAGCTGAAGCCAGGAGTCAGAGCTTCTTCCGGGTCTTTGGGCCATCCTCTAGTGCTTTCCCAGGCCACAAGCAGCAGGAGCTGCTAAGAAAGTGGTGCAGCTGGGACAATAACTGACATCCATATGGGATCTTGGGGTATGTAAGATGAGGACTTTAGCTGCTAAGCTACTGCACTGGGTCGTACCACATACTTACTAATAATTTTAATTTCCTCTTTGCTCTGACTTTTGTTATGTCCTTTTCATATGAAGTGATTGGTCATTTTAATGTTTCATCATTAATTGGTCAATCCATATAACTGTGATTCACATATGATAACCATTCAAAGGAGCATCCTAACATTTTATGCAAACAGATGAGAAGAATGATAGCAGAGAGTTTATGAAGATCATGTTATTATTGAACTACTTTTTATCTCCTTCAAAATGTTATTTCATAATTTGGAATGTTTGATTTAAACATATATGCATTAAATCTCTGAAAATTAAAAATGGTAATAATATGCTATCAATATGACAGATGTATCTGGTATGGGAAGCAGTAAAACTGCATTTGAGGTATAAGCAAAAGAATATAAACGAACTATTCACATAGGCAGAAATAAATGTAAATGAAGACAGAGGAAATGCTTGACATTTTTAGTGACCAGACAAAAACAAAAAAGTGCATCCAAACATTAACATACCTTCTCTTATATAGGATATTTTTTAAGCTGCTTAACAGTTGTTGAGTATACACTACATTTGGATTGGCTAGTGACAGGTAAAATTAATCCCCCTTTGAAGCCATATTGGCATAGCAATAACCCACAAAGGCACTCATTCCACCTCACATGTTGCAGGAAATCTGTCTCAAACGCTTAACCTCTAAAAATGTGCTCCCTTGATGTTTCAGTGGGTAAGGACAGTTAAGAAACACAAAAATCAAACCTAAAGAAAAAGCATAAAGGATGTGCAGAAATTGCATGGAAATCCATGTTATGAAAAATGAACGCAAACATATCAAGACTGTTTTATTCCAAAAATACACTTATCTGATGATTCCATTTTTCTACGAACTTTGCCATCCTAACCCTTTTTACAAGTGCAGTTCGGTGATACTAAACACCACCATTCATCCCCATTACTCTTCAGATCTTGCAAAACGGACTTCATGTAAATGGAATCACACAATATCTGTTTGTGGCGTAATGTCCTAAGGTTCATTCATATAGTGGCATGTCCCAGAATTTCCTCTCTTTCTAGGGCTGAATGTTATTCCACTGTGTGCATCTTTAAGCATACAAGGTGACGAAAAACATTCCTGAAAAAGGGAGTTAAAGAACAAGGTGAGTTTTTCATGGACTCTTTGAAGCTCGTGTGTGTGTGTGTGTGTGTGTGTGTGTGTGTGTGTGTGTGTGTGCGCGCGCATGCGCACACGTGTGCACTATGTATAACACAGTGCTCCTCTATTCTTCCATCCATAGACGTCCAGGTTGCTCCCCCATTCAGGTTACTGTAAATAGTGCTGCTCTGAAACCAGGTGCACAATGCATTGCTTACAATCATTTACCAGGAGTGATATGGTCCCTGCTTTACAGATGAGAATATCCAGGGCTTGTCACAGTGTTCTCACACCACGTCCTAAGGAGTTAGGCACAGGACCCAGTCACAAGCCCCACAGCTTTCCACCAGAGACGAAGATGAGGCTCCTTCTCTAGTGCTCACTTAGGCTTCTCAATGGAGAAACTGAACGACAGCACGTGTTACTTGGGTGACCACCTGGACGAAATGAATCACAGCTGTGTGGCCACTGACTCCCCCAGGGCGTAGAGAATAGTTTAAAGGATCTGGCAATTTTTCCGTGGGAGCAAAATGGGGTCAGAAATGCTTTCCACTTGCCCATAAACACTTGCAGACATGGTCTGCCACAGACGTTATTTGTGCAGAGGTTTAAGGAAGCCTGGTTGTTTAAGTGAAACTACTACCATTCAAATTCAAGGTCCATTTGCATTGACAAACAGCACTGAGATGCCCTTGCCAAACTCACCTTTAAGTTTCTTTACTTTATTTCTCCAAAGTAAAAGAAACCTGTGTAAAAATACACAGTGCAAATGATCAAAAGGATTAAGGGACTCGGAACTACTTACAGAAATGGCCACGCTTTAACAGCAGTGAGCCACCGCGCTAGGGTAATTTCATTTCAGAGACCAATCTGCAAATACTTTCCTGTGCTTCCACAGATAAAAGGCCATATCTTAAAAAATACTCCGAGCTGTGTCTTCACATAACATCGC